CATATGAATCAGAACTCAATTGACGGCACCAAACAAGAATGGCATACTGGACAATTTCTTACACTCAACACAGAATTGTATGTATTTCATGGATAACTGTTTCCTGTCTGTGTTTCCCAACTAGACTGGGAGTTCCAATGGATCAGGTACCATGTCTGTCTTGTTCATTATCATTCCAAATCACAGAATCCCCATAACCAACTTAGAGTTAGGTCCTGGGAAAAAGAAAGTTCTCCACAAATTTTGTGGAACGAATGAACAGCATACACTCAAGTTTCAGGTTTTATTTTCCCTGAAACATATCTGTGTTCATATACTACCATGCTAGAGTGGAGACTCCTTTAGCATATAAACATGAGCTCTGGAAACAGGAGTGTTCATATAGAACTTGCTCTGCCAACAACTATCATGTAGTCCCGGATAGGTCACCTTAGCCTGAGTTTCATGTGCACAATGGGGATCATAACAACCTAAATTTCTTCCTTTCATAACTCATAAAGAAAGCAGCTCTAAGCAGCTATGAGAGAAGAAAGCAATTCTAGTCATAACAAACAGCATCTTAAGAGAATAAAATGTCTCAGTAAATTTACTCAAGGATGTATGATGAAAATGATAAAACAGTGCTGAAAGAGACTAAAGAACATATAAACATATGGAAAGATGTTCCATGCTCATGGATTAGAAGAAAATATAGTCAAGATGTTAAAAGTATCCAAACCAATCTACAAATGCAACATAATTCTAGCCAAAATCCCAACAGCATTATTTACAGAAATGGAAAAATAAATCCTCAATTTTATACAGAAAGACAAGAGATCCCAAATAGCAATTTTGAAGGAGAATAAAGTAATTGGCCTCACACTACCTAATTTCAAAACACATTGAACAGCGACAGTAATTAAATCTGCCTGGAATTGGTTTAATGACAAACACATGTTGTTGTTGTTGTTGTTGCCATCGAGTCGGTTCCAACTCATCGTGACCCTGTTTAGGGTTCCCAGGAGTGGCTGGTGAGTTTGAAATTTCAACCTCGCTGTTATCAATCCAGTTCTTTTCCTACTTGCCTACTAGGGCAGACATATAATGAATGAGATATAATTGAAAACTGAGAAATAAATCTAATTCAAAGTAGATCAGAGACCTAATAGTTAAATCTAAAACCATAAAGTTCTTGGAATAAAATATGAAAGCAAAGCTTTGGCGCTTAATTTTTTTCAATGACAGATTATCAAACACAACAATGAATGAACAAAGAACAGAAAACAAAATAGATACTGGGACCTCATAACAGTTCAATAACTTATCAAATAACTTAGCAAAACATTAAAGAGACAAACTACAGACTGTGAAATAACAACAACAAACTTCATGAATGATATAACCAATAGGGTCTAATATAGAGAAAAATTCTACAGTGTATAACAATGAAAAGATAAGCAGCCCAATTAAAAACTGGAAATGAACAGACCCTGCATCAAAAAGGATATTCAAATGATGAACAGACCCATGCAAAGATGCTCAGTGTCACTGACTATCAGAGAAATACAAATCAGGACCATAAGGAGATACCATATCACTCCTACTAGGATTAACAGTCCTTAGCAAAATGCAAGGATGTTGAGACTTTGTCTCATGAACTTTGGATCAGTCATCAGGAGGGACCAGTCCCTGGAGGTCATCATGTGTGGTTAAAAAGAAGATGGACTGACACAGTGACTACAACAAAAGGCTCAAACACAGAAACCACTGTGAGCTTCGGCAGTGTTTTATTCTCTTGCACATTGGATCACTAGGAGTTGGAACTGACTTCAAGGGACATAACAACAACAGGATGGCTAAGATTTTAAAAAAAGAAAAAGAAAAGAATAAGCATTGGAGGAGATGGAGAAACTGGAACTCGTATCTATTGTCGATGGGAATGCAACAGTGCAATCACTGTGGAATACAGTTTGGTGGTTCCTCACAAAACTAGAGGTAGGGTTGTCAAATGACCAATTACACGCCTAGATCTTGGGATCCAATAGAAGGAACAAGAACCAGGCGTATGGGCACCTGATGTTCACTGCAGCACTACTCATAATAGCAAAAAGATAGAAAGAACTTTAGTGCTATGGATAAGTAAAATGTAGGTACAGACACTAGAATAAGCAAGCAAGAAAAATGGGCCCGTGAAACATAATGTGGATGAATCTTGAGGACATTATATTGAGTGAAATAAGTCAATCACACACACACAGAAAGATACTGTAGTTCTTGTTGTTATGAAATGATGAACGTCGTTATTAAGTGCCATCAAGTTGCTTTCCACTCATAGTGAGCCTACTGTACAGCAGAAGAAAACATTGCCAAGTCCTGTATCATCCTCATACTTGTTGTTATGCTTGAACCCATTTTTGGAGTGTTGTCCTTTTTCACTGACCTTCTACCAAGCATGATGTCCTTATCTCGGGTTTTCTGATGGCATGCCTAAAGTAGGTGAGACAATATCTCGCCATACTTGCTTCTAAGGAGTATCCCAGCTATACTTTTTCCAAGACAGATTTCATGATGAAATAATAAATAGGTATATATAAGCTAATATTCATTAGTGGCTACCAAGGGTAAGAAGAAATACTCCCTATGTGGTAGTCACTTTTTGTTTATAGAAACGGGAAAGGTGAATATGGGTGGATTTTGTACAGCATGACTGATGTAATTGATGTCAATAAAATGTATATAGGGAAATGAGATGAACACACAAATGCTTAGTTGTCTATGGTCTTGAAATAATAATTACAAAGAAAAAAATTGGAGGAGAGCTGCAGATGCTGATACTAATTAGACACAACAAGTCACCTCATAGGTTTAGTTCTCTTTGTTTGGGTGCATAGTCTTATGGACCAATTTAGTCAATTAGCATAATATAGTTCTTAAAGTTCACGCTCTACCACTCAGTATGGTGAGTAGCGTCTGGGATCTTAAAGGTTTAAGAGCAGCCATCTAAGATGTAGACATCTAAGATACAATTACTGGTCTTTATTGGTCTGGAACAAAACAGACAAGAGGAAACGCAAGAACAGAGAAGAAATTAATTGTCTACATGAACCACTGCCTCCTCAACTTCGAGACCAGAACCATATGGTTACCACCACTGAACGTTTTTTTTTAATCAGGGACACAATACATGAAAAAATGTGAATTTTTTTCCTGATAAAAATGCGAAATGTGACGTTCTTAAAGAATCCAGGTTGATTGGATTCATTGAGACTGGAGGAGTCCCTGAGATGATGGCCCTCTGAGTTGCTCTTCAAACCTTGAACTAAGTAAAAATTTAACCCCTAAAATAAAGATTGTCACCCTGAGAACTGTGTTTCTTGTTGTTGTT